GGGCGCTGAGGCACCCAGACCCCGGGTCACCCCCAAGTCCGCGCCCGAGGCGCAGGGAGGGGAGGTGGGCTGTAGTCCATGCGCCCTGCCCACGAGTGTCAGTTGACCCTGACTGTGTGCCCGGGCTTGGGCAGGTTGGGGCCCCAGTGCGAATGTCGCAGAGAAAGTGGAGGCGGAGGCGCGGGCGGGGAAGCTGGCGCCCCCGGGTCCCTGCACCTGACCCCAGTCCCTTCCCAGAACCTCGGTTTCTTCTGGGAAAGAGGGGGTCGGTTTCCTTATGGGAACGCGGACACCTGAAATGCTTCAATGCCTTGGGAACGGCCGGGTTGTTAGTCACCCGTGGGCCTGCTAACCGCATAGTCATGGTGCTGTGTTTGGACCCACCCGCGGGTCCGCGGGAGAAAGACCTGGCTTTCCCGGAGAGAAGGGCCGTGTCAGACCCAGGGGAGCTGCCGCGCCGCTGTGGCTTCCCATCCACTCAAAGGCAGGGTCTGGTTTGATTTCTCTGGAGAAACTTTACAATCAGGGCGCGGCCTGCCCGAGCTGCCCTCGGGGCGTTCACGGTAGCGGCCAGAGGGCTCTGCCGGTGAGGAGGCGCGGGCTGTGGGCTCATTTTCCCGGGCAGCAAACCAGGGCTCCAGGGCGGGTGCCGCGGCATTGACGCGGTTGGTGCCCTTTGGCCCAGCTTAGCTGAGAGGCGTTGGGGTCGCGAGCACCTGGCCTGGGAACTTGACCGTGGCGGAAGGGGCCTAACAGAGCCTCGGGACACCCAGGAGCCGCTTACCCAGAGGTCGCCGTCTCAAGGTCGAGTACAGGAAATGGCAGGCTTGGGATTAGAACCCGGCTTTGTGCCCTCCCCGCCACCGCCACCACCTCTGTAGAGAGCTTCTCTGCGCTCCTGTGGGTGCAGGGGGCCGAGGCCCAGCTGGGTGGCACTTCCTGGAGCGAGGGAGGGCGAGCAGACGCCTATGTTGGGCAGGTGACGGTGACAGGGTGCAGGTGGGTGGGCCACTGATCTGAAGCCCTGCCGCCAAAAGGGCAGCATTGGGGGAATTCTCCATGCCCCCACCCCAACTTCCCTGGACGGGCTGGTGGGTGCCCAGGGGTGTAACGAATCACTAGGCCCTTGGAGGAAACTTCTGGTTCTGAATTGATTTCCCAACGAGGGGGTGTGAGCCCACCCCAAAATCTCGCTTTCCGAAGCACACCCCAGGAGCTGGTGAGTCAGGCACACCTCAGTCTTCTGAACCTTTCGGGAATCTGCTTTCCTGGACCAGGGGGCGCTGGCGACCCTATGGGTCAGGCATTGGACTGCTAACTGCAAGGTCTGCAGTTCAAACCCAACAGCCGCTCCTGGGGACAAGGATGTGGTCTTGGCCAGGTAAAGGTTTGCAGCCATGGGCACTCCACGGGACAGGCCTTCCAGCTCTCTGGGACCAGCTCCAGTTGGGGACGGGCCCTGGGTTGGTTGGGTTGACCCCTATTACCTATTATCACAACTATCATAATCGCTTTGTTCCTCTACCCCACCCCTCCTCCCACAGTGAGGAACCACCACAGGGGCGGAGGACTCACTGGGCCTGTGTGGTAAGTTGACAGGGTTGGCCTGAGCTGGGAGGGGCCCAGGAGGGTCTGTCCGGGAGGAGGGGTGGGGGGGTAAGGCCCACCTGCCCGGGTCAGGATTAGGTTACAGGATTAAGAACCACCCTTGGTGCAACATGGATTAGAGTTGGGATTGGGGTCAGGGCACCCACACTTAGCAAAGATCTAGTCCAGCCCCTGCCTGGGCTGCCGAGGGAGACCAGTGAGGGAGACAGCGTAGGGGTGGAGTCGGGCTGGGGGGCAGGGCTGCTGTGAAACCTGCCAGATGGGAATGATTGTCAGGGTACTATGTCCCTAGACATACCTCACCCACCCTCCACCCCCACTCTGGTCAGATGCAGGTGAGCACCCCCAACCCCCAACCCCTACACTCCCCTCTCCTGTACCCCTTGGCAGCGGCCTTGGCAGGGGACACTGCAGGCATACCGGGTGGCCACCCAGAGGGTGCGGGGCGCCCTCGTGTGGCTGAGGGCACAGCAGCAGTTGAATCCAGGAGGAATGCCCTTCTGGGGCTGCGGACGCCGGGAGGGCGGCCGGCCTAACTACATTCTCTTTAGCAGAAAAGGGCAGTCAGATCACGGACCGCTCCTACTTTTTGATGTCTCCTCATACACAGGACAGACACCCAGTTATACTCAGACCGGCATCTGGTAACATGACATGACACAGCAAACCTGCACCCTCAGAGCATGACTGCAGTATCTGGGTGCTGTGGGTCTGAATGGATATTCTGTATCTGACCAGCCAACTCTCCCCGGGGGCCCACAGGGAGATACCAGGCCAGCACAGAGGGTGAGGCAGATGTCCACCACAGGGTAGGCCAAGGCTCTGGACCAATGGCTGGGAAGTTGTG